TCCGATTCAAGATAATTCTGAATCGGCATTAGAAATCAAAAAAAAAAAAATCTCGACAATTTTTGGATACGTCTCCAAGCTTCATATGACGCAATAGTAGAATCTGACGAATCAAATCTACCAGAAAATTTTAAGTCCTCGGCTTACGCCAAATAGGAAACCTGCTTAGACCAGTTAGAAGACACTAAAGCAATGATTTCCGATCAGCTGAGGCTAATAAAAGCAATTGCACCTACTCCACATCAGCGAGTAGAGCTGCCACAAGTACAAAGTCAACAGGCAAGTTCAGACATCCATCTCAAGGTGCCCGCATGTGACACAGAAATATTTCATGGTGGTTATGAACAATGACCGTCTTTCCGGGACATGTTTACAGCCGGTCAAAGGTCAAGCAGGCGTAATAGTAAAACAGTTCGCACTAAATGACGATAATTTCAATTTGGCTTGGAAAGCACTTAAATCTAGATATGAAAATGAGAGAATATTGGTCGATAAGCAAGGAACTATACTAATGAATTTGCCTAAGATTCAAACGGAAACAAGTGAAGAGATTATAAAACTGCAATCCACTGTTTCTAGTTGCTTGTTGGTTCTATCGACAAAAAATATTATCACAGACAACTGGGACCCTATACTGGTAAAAATATGCACTGCCGCATTACCAGAAAAATCATTACTTCTATGGGAGCAATCGCTCTCATAACTAAGAAAATGCCCCAACAAATGCTGGCAACAAATGAAAGATTTCCTAATTACCCAGTACGAAATCGCAGAAAGGGTAGATAAAAAAAATGGTCAGAATGAAAACTGTTCAACACGACCTAAATAGAAGCTTCCACAGACCATAAGCCAGTAGCAACAACAATTTAAATAGAAGCTTTTTCAGCAAGCAAACGTTCACATCCGAACAGTACAAACAAACGTCATGCGAACTATGTACAGGGGGGCATAAGCTCAAACCTTGGGAGAGATTTGAAAAATTGAATATTATCGACCGAAACAATTTTGTAAAAACAAAAAGACTTTGTACAAACTGCTTGTCATATGCGCATACACTTAAAGAGTGCGAAAACAAATTTAATTGCGTTTATTGTCATAAACGACATCATTATATACTTCATTATAATCATTTTTCCAGATCACCCCCAAATAGCACAAATATGAAAAGAGCCACGGGTTTAGTAGCAAATTTTGAAGTGCGAAATCCCGAAAATTGCCAAGAAGTACCATGCTGCTCAAAGGCAATAAAAACCCAAACGCTATACAGCGAAAATCAAAGTAGAGTACTACTACCTACAGCAGTCGTCTCCATCGAACACCGAGGAGAACTGTTTAAACTTAGGGCCTTAATAGACCAAGGATCACAACGATCTTTCATAGCGTCTAGGGCTCAAAATAGGGTACAACTGCCAACAAAACTAGCCATCTTTGAAATCACGGGAATGGGCGGAAGAGTAGCCCAAAACTCAAATAAAATCTGCCCCTTTACCTTAATTTCCCCCCAAACGGATAAGCACATACAAGCAGAAGCTATAGTCTTACCGCAACTTACAAATTTGCTTCCAAGCTATCACATTAATAGCAAGCATTGGCAAAAGGTTTCACACCTAAAACTAGCAGATCCCAACTGCAACACTCCTGCTCAAGTAGATCTTCTATTAGGCAGCGATCTCATACCACAGATAATACTCGAAGCTATTGAGAAAATTTCAAATACCCTATTGGCACAAAATACCATTTTCAGTTGGATCTTAAGTGGACTAGTTACGGAACCAGTTACCACTATGACCACTCAAGTTGAGGAAATCTCAAACGAATACCTCAATTCACTATTAAAAAAATTTTGGGAGTTAGAAGAACTCCCCTCCATTTCTATTACAACCCCAGAAGATCAGTATTGTGAAGACTTTTACAAAGCCACAACAACTAGATCAGATAATGGTCGGTACGTCGTACGACTACCACTAAAACAAGAATTTCCCAACACAATCGCCTTAGGTCACTCTCGCACCTCTGCAATACAGCCGTTTCAAAGTATGGAAAAAAACCACATGGAGGAAATAAGCCCATGCGAAAAAATTATCAATGGCAAATACTACGCATTATACTTGCCGCTCCATGCAGTAGTAAAGCCAGACAAAAAAACAACTAAAGTAAGAGTTGTCTTTAATGCATCAAGATTCACTAGTTCGGGAAATTCCCTAAATGATATTCTATTTACGGGACCCACGCTCCAACCAGATTTAATGCTCCTCATATTAAATTGGCGTATATTCAAATACGTATTTAACGGAGACGTCGAAAAAATGTATAGACAAATAGTCGTACATAAAGACGATCAAGATTTTTAGCGAATTATTTTCCGAAAATCTCCCAGTAGTCCACTCCGCGACTACAAATTGAGAACAGTTACGTTTGGCGTCAACTGTGCTACATATTTAGCCATTCGAACACTACACGATTTGGCAGAAAATACCAAGTCAGAATTTCCTCTGGCAACCCAAGTGTTAAAAACACAAACATATGTAGACGATATCTTGTCTGGAAGTCACAGTCTTCCACAAGCATACGAGTCACTATCACAAGTGGTAAAAGCCGTCAAAACCGCAGGGTTTCTGTTGAAAAAGATAACGGCGAACCACCCTAATATTTTAAAAAATATACCACATGAAAATTTGTTAGATACTAATTTCCTTAAATTCGAAAAGGAAAATACAACAAAAACTCTGGGGATCCAATGGAATGCGATATCTGACCAGTTTTCACACACGATAGAGTCAATATCTGCGTTATCCGCCATAACAAAGCGACAAATTCTATCCTCTGTGGCGAAACTTTTCGACCCCGCAGGATGGCTTTCGCCAGTTATAATACAAGCCAAAATCCTAATACAAGAATTATAGTTAGATGGAACCGACTGGGACGAACAAGTAAAACCACTTCTTTCAGAAAAGTGGTCCCAGTTTGCGAACAATCTAAACGATATCTCACAGATACAAATCCCACGATGGGTAAATTATGCCCCAGAGCACAAAGTCGAACTACACTGCTTCTGTGACGCTTCTGAAAAGGCATATTGCGCAACTATATATGTTCGCACACAAAACGACACTGCGACCACATGCCACTTACTAGTAGCAAAAGCAAAAGTGGCTCCTTTAAAAACAATAAGTCTGCCACGACTTGAATTATGTGGAGCGCTACTATTAGCCAAACTCGTGTCCATCGTACAAACGCATTTAAACATGGCACAATATAAATTATATCTATGGTCCGATTCCGAAATTGTACTAGCCTGGTTAGAAAAACCACCACATGCATGGAAGACGTATATTTCCAACCGAACGACTCAAATACTTGACCTAGTAGGATCAGCCACTTGGCGACATGTAGCCAGTGCTGACAATCCTGCTTATCTAGGTACAACAGGGTGCAAACCCCGGCACCTTGTCACCACCACCCTCTGGTGGAATGGCCCCCGATGGTTAACAGAATCTCCTGATTCTTGGCCACAATCGCCCATGCGCAATATAATTGCCCCAGAAAGTCGAAAAATCGACTCCTTTCACGCAACATTACAGGATAATGACATGAGCGATTTTCCTCGTATTTTCCTCGTATCCCCGAGTCCTCAGGGTAATCGCTTACATGCTCAAGTTCATAGAGCGACTCAAAATTAAACTTAAGGGAGTGTCTTCATTACACCCCCAATGCGATACAGTGACGCACCTAGACTTACAAAAAGCAAAGGTCGCTCTTATCGCATCTACGCAAGCGCGTTACTTCAGCCGAGAAATATCATTACTAAGAGAAGCGAAGCCGATAGATAAAAAGAGCTCACTCTTAGTCTTAAATCCATTCATTGACACGAAAGGAGTACTCCGTGCGAATGGTCGGCTTGCCAATTCAAGCCTGACGTATAACGAACGTCATTCCATAGTTATCCCAGAGAAATCGCAACTTGCCACCTTATACCTTAACTATGTCCACGTGCTATTGCTACACGCAGAACATCGCCTCATGCAACAAATAGTCCGTCAAGAGTTTTATATTCCAAGACTCAAGCCCAAAATAAAGAAATGCATTTTCATGTGCAAGATCTGCACTATGCATAAGCAGAAGATGCGAACGCAGATTATGGCAGCACTTCCACCGGAACGCTGTAACTTCGCTCTGCCTTTCACCATTACAGGTGTCGACTTTGCTGGGCCTTTTCAGATAAAGGCATCCATGTTAAGGTCTCCCACCCTCATGAAAGGCTATGTGGCTGTCTTTGTCTGTTTTACGACAAAAGCAGTACACCTCGAGCTATGTACGAATCTGACAAAGGAGGCTTTTCTCGCGGCATTTGCTCGCTTCGTCGGACGACGCGGTTTTCCGTCAAAACTCATGAGCGACAATGGCAAGACATTTATAGGAGCTCAAAGAGCCACAGAAAAACAGTTCGTGGACTTTGTTAGGCAAGTCTCACCTGAAATTGTACAAAAATACGCTCACCAAGGTATTAACTGGCAGTTTATCCCTCCAAGCGCTCCTCATATGGGTGGTTTATGGGAATCAGCTGTAAAAAGCTTCAAATCCCACTTTAAAAAAGTAGCTGGAAACTACAAATTTAATTATGAAGAATTTACAACATTATTAATTCGCATTGAAGCCGTTCTCAATTCACGGCCACTAACGGCACTCTCGCAAGATCCCTCAGATCTCACAGCCCTAACTCCAGGGCACTTTCTAAAAGGAGCACCCATTCTGGCCATACCTGAGCCAGGCGTGGAGTCGCTGTCCTTGCATAATAGATGGGAAAGAATTAAAATTCTCCATCATGATTTCAGCCGCCGATGGAAGGAGGAGTATATAAAGGACCTTCATAAAAGGTATCGCTGGAAAACTCCCGAAAAAGCGCCAAAGCTTGGAGATTTTGTCCTAATCCATGACGATTGTCTCCCCCCTACAGAATGGCGGCTTGGTTGCATAGAGAAGCTACATCATGGTCCCGACGGTCATATACGAGTAGTTGACCTCCGTACTCGAACCGGAACGCTAACCAGGCCGCTCGTTAAACTATGCTTCCTACCAATCGCAGATAACAGCGAAAACGCAAGTAATAAAAGATCCGTACAATAATATTATATATACACGCAGAAAACAAAATATCCGTTTAATAACCTAAAACCGAAATAAACCGCAAATATGATAAATCACCACAATATATACTAATACAATAATGGGTGGACTAATACGACCCCCACTAACCAAATAAAGTTGGTTAAGTTTAAAGGGATCCATTATCTATATCACTGAGTCGTAACTAAACTCGCCTTTTCTCCATACAGGTAGTTATGGACGCTGAAATGTCAATTACCCCTACGCCAACCATACGTTCGGCTGTCACTGTGCCGCGCCCTGGGGCTACCCCCGTAGCAGCGCCACGAACAACACCAGCAACAACTGTACCGACAGCTCCACGACGTGCCATGCGCCCAACGCCTACTGTAGTTTCGGAGCCGCCTCGCCTCCGCTGCCCGCTCTGTTGCCGTTCACACCGGCTGCAGCACTGTCCCATTTTTAAGGGTATGACACCCAATCAACGTCAGCAGGTGGCCCAGGCACATGGGCACTGTTTGAATTGTTTGGCCCAGACGCATGACACGCAGGAATGCGTGTCTGATATCGTGTGCCAATACTGCGACAGGCCGCATCATACCTTGCTGCATCGAAACCCAAGGCGCCCTGTCGCACGGCCCTCAGTACCCCGCCGCCATGATGCAGGCCGTCGTCCACAGCCAAGCCATGCAGCACGACCCCGTCGACGACAAGCACTCACCGCACCCCGTACTTGGCGTCAGCTCCATAGCACCTCAACACCACACCAACCCTTAAGGCCGCAGACTCGCCGCAGGACAGGCCTCAGCAACGTCGTGGCAACGCTGCAACAACTCCAGCGACTGCTAGGCTGAACATTCGCCTAGGGGGGCCGGGATGGCTAAATGAGCTCAGCCTCCCGCCCTAATGCAGTCAACCACACCGCACAACACACCACTCACACGACAACACAACACACCACTTACAGGACAACACTGGCACACCACACCTGGAAACACCCACACACCACGCACCAAAGCAACCTTACTGGAAGCAGCAGCATACACCCACACACAATAACTCTACACACCAACATTAACAAAAGGAGGGAGGGCGATCGCGCCGACCCTCTTTTCCATCGAAAGCGCTAAACCGAGAAGTCGCAGTTGAAGTTCCGCCTTTTTTCCACGGTCGTAGATCCCGATTATCTTTTAACAACTTATAAAGTGAAATTGTAATTTTTTGATTTTGATTGTTATAAATATTAATATCTTTATAAATACATGATATTGTAAATTGCGTAAAACGTTTGCGATAGAAATAAATTGTGTAATAATTTTCTAAACTTTTACAAATACGTGAGCGTTTAGTGGAACGAAAAGGTGAGGAAAAGTTACAAAAGTGAACAATTAGAAAGAATAAATAACTTAACACATATTACAAATATAATCTTAAGCGAAGTAAAAGCGAATGATGCTATAAAGTTAGAATTAGAAAGAAATATCGAAAGAAAATTAAATTATATTAAGGAAGATTTAAAGAATGTAGACTATTCAATTCAATGGGCAAAAGCCAAAATTGTTAATTTATTTATACTGTCGAATGAAGAAATTAATGTTATTAAGGAGAAATTGGAAAGGCAAAAAATGCCTTATATAAATGTAATAGAAGCTATAGAATTTAGTGATGTAAAAATCGCATCAAATTTATCATCTATTATTTACATTGTAAAGGTACCTATTACAAGCGAAGAAAATTGTAAATCATTAATAATAAAACCTGTAAAACAAGATAATAAAGTTATTAAACTAGAAAATAAAAATTTAATTGATTGTCAGAAGAATATATATAATATAAAAAATAGTTGTAAGAACCTAAATGATGTATCTATATGTAAACAAGAAAACATAGAAGAAGTCACACAAAGCAGCTGCATACCGAATTTACTTAAGGGATATTCAGCAAACTGCACAACCATCAATGGGCATCATATACCAACAATAGAAGAGATAAATCATGGCCTTATACTTATTAACAGTTACAATGGCACGATAGAAGTAGATCAAGACATCATCAATCTGCATGGCACATTCCTAATCAAATACGATAACGCAACCGTAATAGTTAATGGTAAAAGCTATATAAATAAAAGCCAATTTTTTGCGAAACCACTAAAAGCAGTCGTTAATTCCGCAAATACCACAGCAAATTTGGAAGAAGTTCTCTCGTTGCAATATTTGAAAGAGCTTAATGTTGCAAATATCAGAGAAATCAATGCCATCAACACAAATCATAAAATCAACGTTTTTACTGAATCGGTTATAATTATACTCCTTGTGGCAATGGTCCTAACAATGGCACTAAAAAGAATAATTGCAAACCGAAAAGGAAAAATCCACATCCAAGTTGAGACGAAAAACGTAGAAAACAACTCTCCAATACCGATGGAAACATCATCTCCAGCAATTGTCCATATTTCAGAGACATCCATCGAGGACGCTACATGTTTTAAAGGGGGAGGAGTTAACACGGTATACGCCGAAATACCTTTTCCACGATCTACCTTAGCTTAGGCAACAAAATAACTTTCACAGTCAAACGACACCACACGCGCAATTGCCAAAATGCTGACTCCACACCGTCGCCGCATGAGAACGTCTGGCCAGCCAGCCCACAACAACAACAATGTGCAATTGCACCTGCTTTGCAACGTGACTTACTAGCATAAATTAGCTGTAAAACCAAAAATGTAAGTTAGTTCTAATTTTAATTTTAAGCAATAAAGTGAGTTGTTTTGTTTTTGCGCGTAACATATTTACATGTATTATACGCATGTATAATATGGTATTTACAGTAGGGAGCACAAATGAGTACATATTTGTGATTCGTATATTTATTCCTGCATAATGGTAGAAGTAGCAAAGAAAATATTAAAAGTTTTTTTCCCCTTTTATTTGGTGTTTAATTTTAAACAAAATGGATTGTATTGTAATACAAACAATAAAATGTGCTATTTTAAGAAAAAAAAGCAAATAAAACTAAAACAGAGATACGATCAAGAAATTACATCGCAATGTTCGTTGCTTCATCCAGCATCGCAGCAGCTTTATTAGATAGGGGCAGAACAGCTCATTTAGTATGGCACATTAACATTCGCTTGAAGCATTGGATACGATATCGTAATATATTATATAACAACAACAAACTATTTGGCGGCACTTTGTAACTCCTTTCAGGTGATTTAAGACAGACACTTCATTTTATTCTGCGGTTAACGTACTCTGATGAAATCAACGTTTTAAATTATCGCGACTATGGCGTAATATTGAAAAATTACAACTGACAGTGAACATGAGCTTATACAATACAGATACATACATATAATTCAAAATCCATTTGCTGAAACTTTCTCAAAACAATTGTTAGATATTGGCAATGGAAAACTAGTTGCACATGAAAATGCCGGATGCATAAAATTACCGACGGAGTTCTGCACGATCACCAACTTACAAAATACTCCCATCGATAACATACTTCCCGATGTACACACAAACTGTAAGATTCGTTGGCAGAAGGATGGATTTTGGCAGCAAAAACATCTGAACGTCAATGGACTAGATTCAAAGGGGACTTGGTGTCATACAAATCTGTTGATGCTGTTTGCGATGTCACCGAAGGTGTGAATTATCCAATTGAGTTTTTGAATTCATTGGTTCTATGAACTTGGTTTATAGACATTGTTTAGCTAATCATTTTGCTTCAGAGTCTACAATGCGTGAAACGAATTCCTTCACAATGTGTTGTCATAAGGGTAAAGTCCATCTTCCACTGTTAATACAAAATGTTTTTTTTTAATTTTTTATATGACGGTCTCACATTAAATGCTAGAATTATAAAGAAAAAGTCCAAAAAATTATTTCGACATTATTCGAAGCTCCAATTCGGCCTATGCTATGGTCAGTTCGGAAGCTAATATTTCTGACATAGTTTTAAGAAGAAGAGGAGTCAAAGCAATGCATAACAACACAATAGATTGTGAAGTGCTCACTGGAGTTGCTCGGGGAAAACGTATTTTAATTTCACGCATACACTTGACGTATTCAGGGACTGTAATGCTATTTAATTTTCAAAGAACACAGTTTCCAGTCATAATCGCATAATCTATGACAATAACAAATCCCAAGGACAAACATTTGATAGAGTTGGAATATTGTTGATC